TAAAAAAAAAAAAAAAAAAAAAAAAAAAAAAAAAAAACTTTTCATGTCTGGAAACTAGACCCCAAAATGGAAGTCAGAAATTACTGCACAAACATTCTGAAGCAGAGTATGTCACAAATTGCTGAAAATATGAACATTTCTGGAACCATAATCACCAAACTTCTCTACAGAAGTTAGACATAGCTGAAAACTGAGAATCAAGGTTTTCATTCCCTTTTTATTTGTTCAATTAATCCCTATTTCTTGAGTCTTAACTTCATGCCAAGTAGTTCCATGCAGCATGAACACAGCAGTGAATAAACACAACTGGAAATTCCTGGCCTCGAGGATCTTTCCTTCTCTGAAGAGGAAACAATAACAACATCATACAACATGCAGACTGGCACTGAGAGGTAAAGGCAACAGTGATGTGAGACACGGTAACAAGTGTGCAAGAAAGCTTTCACTCCCAGGACAATCACTGAGAAGGGAGTATTCAAATGAAGACCTGAAGGAAGTGAAGAAGGAACCACACAAGGAACATAAGCACAAAGGCCCGGACAGAGCAGCATGACTGCCAGGGGGCCCAAGTCAACTGAGCAACAGGAGGGAGGGAAGGAAACAGGAGATGAGGTCAAAGACACCAGTTTATTCAGCAAGTAGGCAGGAGAAGGGAGACCAAGAAATGACCTCAGATAGACAGTGGCAGCGGTGGCAGCACCGGGTGTGAAGTCTGGTGAGATATTTGAATACCTGAACACCTGTGAGGTGAAAGAAAATGTTCCAATTGGTCAGATAACAGGTGCGGTGAAAGACAGGAGTCAAGGAAGACTAAATGTTCTAGAAGACACACTAGAAGATGAGAACTGTTCATCGAGATAGGAAAATCTGCAGGAACAGCAGATCTAGGTATATCGATTTTGAGACTCGTAATACTCCTTTAAGTATCTAACTCCAATTAAATAAGGAAAGAAGTTGAGATTAGAGAAAAATTCAGGTGCTATCAGCACACTGTTGAACTGCCTTGGAACACTGAACACAGGCCCTCTTAGCATCCTATCAGTGATATCCTGGACACCTTCGGTCTGTCATTCTGTAGCTATCCATCAGTCCAAGGGACCTAATTTATAATAGAACTTCACCTTTGACCAATTAATGTTTCTAAGAAACTATTATTTTTGGAACAGTTATTTCTAAGGCAATCAGTTCTCAAGAAATCACACATTCAGCAAACACTTTCTGAGAACTTAGGAGGAGCCAGGCCCTTCATGGCTGGGGACACCACAGTAAAAAGACAAGCACAGAGACCCTGACTCTATGTGAATGGTGAAATGAAGGAAACCAGATGGCAGCAGTAATATCACAAACACAGTGAATTAAGCAGTAATAGAAACAAGTCCTATACAAGAGAAATTATAAAGTATAGAACATTTGTATGTACTTTTTCTTTCCGGACAGCTCCCTCCTGGCACACAGTACCTCCCAAGCCCTCCCTTGTCAGCAGTACAGTCTTTCGGGGCTGTCACCAAAATGGCACATGTGTTTCCCCTCCCCAAAAATAGATTTTTAAGGATGGTAAAGAATTCAAGGCCACAGTAACCTTTAAGAATCTTATAAAAATATTATGCCCATCTCATTAGCACTGGGTTAATAATATATAATGAACTGTGACTGTGTTACCCTTCTGGGACCTGCAGTCAAGGGAAACAAAGCATAGTCTACATGTGACTGAAGCAGAGAGGAGCAAACCACCCCTGCTTTCTACTCTACTGCAACTACTCACAGAATTTCAAATGGAAATAAGAATCAAAGCAGCTCTTAGAGACACAGTGAGAATTCCAGTGTATACACAGGGATAAACTGTTACAGTAATAAAGTATGCACAATGTTAGATAGAAAGAAACCATTTTATAGAATAGGAAATTCAAGCTTAAGAAGATTCTGTGATTAAGTCTCAACACAAAGACAGTGAGCCACAAGACCAAGACCACATCAACATCACCCAACACTTGCTTAAGTGAGCATGCACAGTACAAGTCTTACCCCATATTTTCCATCAGGAAGAAGGAAAAGAACGAAGTACAGATATCGGTAGATTTTGCTTTGGAAACCTTCCTCTGGAGGATGCTTTATAAACTAAAAGTGTACAGAAGACAGTTGGTACACAAGTGACTGATTCTTAGAGAGAGGAATAAAGGACAATGATCATATCATAGGCAGACATGCAAAGAGCAAAGAATAGAGAGCTTCTGGGGAGGGGAGAAGAGGGTGAAGGAAGGATGGGGACAAGGAGAAAAAATGAGAACCAAGACCTGTCATGTAAAGGTACAAGATCCCAATGATGAATGTAAATGTACCAATAAATGTACTAAAATGTACCAATAAATTCAATGAAAAAAAAAATAGAGAGCTTCAAGATGGAACATTAAAGATGGAGAAGAAATGCGCTACCAAGAGTTTTCTAAGTAAAAGATGAAAGTGATGATTAGTTATCAAGCAGAAGAATGTGTAGGTGTCTACTAAAAGGGAATTACCCAACAAATGGCAAACAAAATACTTTAAAATTGGGTCTCTTGTTTTAATGCTACTATGAAGGCTAGGAATAAAACATAACACCTTTTTCTCTTTTCAGGCCATGGTTTAAGTTATAAAAGATAAGAAATTCTTGAGGGATTCTATTAAACTTTTAAAGAAGAAAAGTGTCTACAAGGCCAATACCTAGAAATTCTTGAATAATAAAAGTTTTTCCACTATCATCAAATGAATTAATTTACAAAGTTCTTCTAGTATTAAAAATACCAAATAGCTAAAGACATTTGGTAATATTTGGTAATACTCAAAATTGTGAAAATTAGAATCCATAAATCTATAAAGCATTGTAAGTCTGATGCCCTAACCTACAACACATCTAATTAACTTGATGAGGCTTGATTATAAATAGTATAATACATGAAACTAAAGTTCTTCCTTTAACTCTTAAAAAAAGGATTCATTTAGGAAAAAAAAATTACTGACTAATTGCTTCTTTAGAGTTTGTTTTCTCTTACAATCAATAATAAAAATAACAACTTCTTTTTAACTCCAACACGACCTATCTTGAATAGAAGAGCAGACATAGATCCCATTCCATCTGTTACCAAAGAAGAAGAAATTCACTTATTGAAGAAATTCATTTGTTTTTTATTTATTTTTCTTAAACTCAAAGCTGGGATAATGATTGGTATTCTTCAGATGGTAAGATATAATCCTGAACTCATTTGCAGCCTTTTGATAAAATATAGAGATCTATGAATGTGTTTCTTTTTTAAATGCTGAATTCTCAGTACCTAAAACAATGCTTGACATATATATATATACACTCACTCAAAAAGCCCTATTTGGAGTGAACTGACTCAAATTAAATTATAGGCCATAAAAGGCATATCTTTAAATTATTTTGTTTAGAAAAGTACATTGGTATCTCTATGTATTAATGACAATGAGAAAGCAATAACTATTACATTTATATTATATAATTTGTATATGTCACATAAATATGTAATTGAGTATATATGAGAAAAAGTTCTTTATCACATAATTCATAAAAACTTAAGGGGCTTGTGTAGTGCTCAGTAATTTACACAGCATTTTATACACATTTTTACATGTATGGATATAAACATTCATGATACAATTATACATGTATTAAATGTGACATTTCTATATTATATATTTTAAATAACATATATACATGCTGTATGAGGTAGACATTAGTATTCACTCTTTATTGATAACAAAACCAAAGTTCTAAGAAAATGAATGTCATGTAACTAAGTGAAGACATGGTATAAAAGTAAACTGAAGACTCTAAACATCAAAATCAGGCGAACCTTCTGCTTGCTTTCAGTTGGATACTTAGGAGGCAATAGGTTTCTACTTGAAATTACACCAACTGTGTCATATAATCAACACTGTCTTCACCTCCCCTTTATCTGAGAGTGGTAATAAGCCAGCAGGACACCTTGCCATTTGTAGATAAGTGAAAACACATTTCTTAGCTGTCATCTTTGAGTGCTTGAGTTTATCATTTCTATAAAATATTTTATTAGTAAATAGCACATAAATTGAGATTTATTTCTCATTCTTTACAAAATCAAACTCAGAGCAACACAGACCAATGAAGCAAGAGACGGCCCCTGGCCACACCAATGTAGAAGGCAGAGGAACAGGACCACTGGCCCGTCGGCGCCCCCACACCACCTCAGCAGCCACGCGAGGACTGGAGCTGGAGGGTGGCCGCCCGGGCTCGTCCCTCCCTGCCCCGTGTCCCAGACAACACCGCCCACCAACCGTCACGCTCACCTTGCTGTCTCCTTCCACTCCATCTCCTGCCCATCCACAGCCAGAAGCTCATCCAGCTCAGTGAAGAGCTGAGGGGGTGCCGGGCTGTCATCTTCCTCTCCCAAGATGAAGCGGATGCGCTCTGCGGCAGGAGAAACTGCAGAAGTGAAAATACTGTGGTTAAACATTGGCTGGACAACCCTGAGGGAAGTGAAGCTCCAGGCTCTTCCTCTCTCTCCAAGGTCCCTGGGCTTCCCTTCCACGTTTTCAATGGACATCTTTCTTGTGGAGCCTCCCTTATCCCCAACCTAAAGCCAGAGAGACATGGAAGCCCGTCTCCCTTCCTCTAATTCAAACTAGAGCTCCGTTCTCCTCCACTTTCCACAAGGACAGTGTCCAGCTTAGTGTGGTGGATGACCAAGAACCATGAGCCCTCCGACAGGTCCACTCGCACTATCCCCTCCCTCCCGACAAATGACCTGTCCACGATCATAAGACAGCGATCAGAGTGGACCAATCGCTCCTTCACGTACAGTGGGAGGGGCAACAGGGCACCCCAATCCTGAGTTTTCCTCGGGCACCACCTCCCTCTGTCCAGGGTTGAAGCCTATGCCCTTGTGCCGGTCCTCACTGCCCGGAACTTTGCAAACTGCAGAGTTGATGAAGGAATATTTAACAAGATAGGACCTCTTCTTTACATAATGGCAGTACCCGAAAACATTTAGTCACACTTCAATGCACTTGAAAAACAACCCCAAGTAAAATATTGTACACCTGAGGGGGGAAAAACCCTTCCAACAAACTTACGCACATAATTGAATGCCCTACTAGCTCCTTTTGACCCCATCTCCTGAAAATCATGTAATGAAAAATTAACTAGAATTTACTTCAGGTTTTGGGTTATTTTCTCTCTCTTGAGAGAAGGAAAGACAGAAAAGGAAAACACACTTGGAAATCAAATTGATGGCCACTTTACAAAACTTTTATAATCCCTGGAAAAAATCAAGAATGGTGCATACAAGTGAATTTAACATAGAACAGAATATGATTGTGTAGAACAAAATTTACTTACTACAAATAAATTCATGAAAAACATTTACGCTAATTATAATAAAGATTAATTCTTAATATGTATATATTTACCTATTAAAATGGAAACAATGAAAGAAATGGAGGGAAGGGATGGAGGAAGAGGGAAAGGGAATGAGAAAGGAATTTAGATGTGTTATGTCCATGGACCAACTTCACACAAGGAATGTAAACACTACGTACTATGTACGTGCAGTAATAAGAAATTTTAAATGGCAACAGTTAAAAACAGACCAACAATGCTCAATGTTCAGGAACCATGCAACGTATCTCTTGATGCTGGGTGCTGATGGGCCTAAATGCAAACATCACTCTAAAGGACAGTGAGAAGGATGGGTATGAAAATACACACTGCAATTCTTCCACAAAAAGTCGCCCATTGCAAGTGGTTATCTCAAAACTTTTGCTACAAAGTGATCACCACAACAGTGTTTGTAGCTGAGATAGAAAACTCCTAAATATGCAAAAGGAGGGATAGTTAAATGAAGTATGGTACAAATATACAATAAAATTATTATGTGATCGTAAGCTATGAAGTTGATTGCTTTTTTGATGTCATATAAAATTAAGTGGAAAAAATAAGAAAACAACACATATGTGTATCCATAAATACAGCCCTCACTTCCCTCAGTCCCAACACGCACGTACTGCATTCCAGTCACTGTGGTATAAACAGTCCTGCTCCCTCCATGCACAGCTCCGCTTTGGGCTGACCCTGGGTGCTAACTCATAATTACATATAGTGCGAGGGCAACGCTGCTCTTCTGGCCACAGACAAGTCCGTGACTGACAACTGATCAATCATGGACCGGTCAGGAGACTTCTGTCTGTAAGTGACTGACAACCACATGCATGTGACTCAGTTCACACACAGACTCAACCGCTAAACGTCTTCTTGTCTCACCATGAAAAATCCACATGGTACCACCAGTACACAAAAGAGAAAACTGGCCAACGAAGATGAAGGTGTGGCAGACAGATAAAAATCAGTGACATCAGGAAAGAAATTTGAACCAAACATGAATCATGTCACAGGCAGCAGAATGCTGGCAATGCTGTCATTTGTCATTCGAGAGACCCTGGATCACAGTGAAAGCAATCTTACCAGCATACAGAAGGAAAATGGTCCTGATAGGAAAAAGACAATGTCTTAGAGGAAGTGAAACTGGCAAAAAAAAAAAAATCTCTATATAAAGAAGCCCAGGAGAACATTTCTCGTGGAAATCACAAAAGACAAAATGCCACAAACAGATGCCAATGTGACAGGACAGCTCATCCAGATGCTGAAAGGAAAACGTGCCCCTCCATTTTCTGAGTAGTATGTTAGGAAGGTAAGGGTCACTGACACTGATAAGATTTCCCACAGCAATAAACCATTTATATCTCCATGTTTCGAAGGTCCTAAATTAATTGTGCACTAAATAATTATTAGTTTTAGCTTATTTTGTTTGTTTCCCTGTAACTTTAGAGCTAACATCAAAGGAGATCCTAATAATAAAAAAAAATTTTTTTTCAAGGTCATGAAACAATAGGAACTTTTCTCACAGATTATTAGAGTCATCTTGTATTGTTTTCATGCTCATTTTTGCCGCCTGCCTCACAAGCACAAAGACACGAGTTCTATCTCCAGTACCATAAAAAAAAAAAGTGCATGGTCATTTTTATGGTCTCTATGCCCATATATTTAGATATGATATTCTTAAACAAGTACTTTTTACATGTTATAAAGTTCATCTTTACGGCTTGTATTTTCTTCCATTTACTTCTATATAACCTCGAAAGAAGTATGTACAATTTGTCCACATTCAGCAAACACTCACTGAGCATGGTCTATGTTCTCAGTAGGCTTTGCCTGAGGCTCAGAAGATAAAGCAAAACGTCCCTGATCTCATCATTCAGGTAGAGGAAATAAATATTAACTAAGCAATTAATTAGTTAAGTGAATCAATAAATTAGTACATAAGCCAAGAAGAAAATATTTGCTAACTACAGTAGAAGTATTTGCAGAACATGAAGGTAATTGAATACACATTGACATAAAGTACAATGAATATGTTTTATGTCTATAACTAGAAAATGGCTTAAATTTCTTATTATCTCTGGGCAAAAAAAAAATCTCATTGAGGGCTTTGGTATAAAAAATATCTGCAATGCCCTTCCCATCAAGAAATTGGAAGCATAATTATTTTGAGGGGCCAGGGAGGGCATGAAAACGAAGAAATAACAAGCAAAATTTGAAATACCAGCAACACTTCCAGTTACAACACTAAAAGTGGGGGTCCTTCATCACAGTGGTTCTGGAAGCAATGATCACAGATTTCATTAACTTTTCATCAGCATTCACCATCAAAGACTCTAAAGGTAACAGTGGCTTTCATTAGAGAGAAGTCTCAGGTTAGACTATCCACTTTCTGCACATCTATAAAGTCGTGACACAGGTTGATGTCCACCTCTAATGGAGAAGAATAAATAAAAGAATCTCATACACTACAGTGTCACTCCCCACTCATCTCTGCCCCACAGAGCCCTCTAGCATTTTCCGTTTATCCAGAAAACACCATCATTCTTTATCACACAGCATCTCAACTGTGTGTGGTGTCTGCAAAATGGAACACTGAGAGATCAGGACATTACCTTCACCTCCAGGACTAAATCTCCAGGTGACACTCCAGATACTGTGCCTAACACTTCTCTTAGACAACCTGATTTATTAAATATGGGCCCCTAAGCAATCTGTATAGTAATCTTTTGGGCAGTAAATTCCAAACTTGCATGTCACAGACTAGCTTGCTACTCCAGCTGCTCCCCCGCCATTTCTCAGGAATCAGAAGAGGCCAGAGCAATTCTATCTGTGGAAGGAGCTCCTCTGGGGCCAGAAGATAGCATTTCCAAATGCTGACATAACTCTCAACCCAAAGATATGCAGACAGCGAGGCATCCCGTGGTGAACAATGTGAGGAATTCATTGTTCCCCATAATGCGCAATCATATGGAAAATGGACTAACTACAAAAGACATTGCGTGGAGGACCTGAGCCAGACTGTCTGGGTCAGTCCTCAACTCCATTCCTTACTAACTGTGTGACCTAAGGCACATTAATTAACATCTCTGAGTTTCAAATTCCCCGCCTGCAAAATGGGGTGATGATTATTATTACAGTAGCTACAATTTAAAAATGTTTAAATTGCTGGTTCTGTCTAGGAAAACTTGCTTAGGTTCTAAGCAAGACAATTCTCAGATATTACTGACTTTGAGAGCTGCTGCATGTTGAAAACTTACAGGGTAGGAAAGACAAACACCAAACATTGTGCCTGTTTTACTTCACTGAATTGAGTAGCTTTCATGATGGGGCCACATTCACATTCATGGAAATAGACCACAGAGAACAAGGGCAAATAGTAAAACCCCTTGAGCCTTACTCTAAATTCAACGTGCACCACACATGAACAGACTGTGATTCTAAGCTATCGTCATCCTACAGAAAACCTGAAGGAAAAAGAAAGTTCACAGGGAAGAAGAATTAACAAACAAATCCGAATTAACAAATTAAACCTTGTCAGCAAACCCATAGATCAAAGTGAAGCTAATGTCTCCCACCTGCTCCATTTCCTTTTCATTCCTGTCCTCTGGTTAGAAGGTGTTTTGCCTCACCGGAGTAGGGGCAGAACTTCCTGGCAGCCCCTACCTCAATGGAATTATCTCCGACCACTGTTCCTATGCAGGATGACAAAGTCATCCCTCAGGATAGCAGCAGACCCAGCACTCCCAGACCCACTGTGACAAGAAGCCAGACAAATATTCGGCAGGAATGCTGTCCATCCTCACTCCACCCCAGCACTGCAGACTTCACTCACACCTCACACACTCGCCCCTACTCAGCTCAATGCTACTCTGCAACCCCACCCAGCTGTCAGGGGTGCAGGAGACAAGACCAGACCACAGCACACGATCCCCAACCTGCATGTCCAACCTTATCTCCCACAGAAACCCAGAGTTATCTTGTGACCACAGAAGAGCTGACTGCCCATTTTCTTATCTTTCGCTCATTCTTCTTCTTTAGAATATTAG